CCCTGTGAGTCTTGCCTTGGTTTTCCAGCCATGCTGACTTATTGCTAATATTCGGATATATCTAATTCTGTTTCTTCTACCTAACTTCACGTGCGTGTACATGCGTGTGCCTGTGTGTGTGTGTAGAGAGAGAGAGACCCAATGCTGTAAACCTCTGAATAGGTTCTCTGGAAAACCTAAAAGGCACTGCCCATTGTTTTCACAGCCAGATTCTACTTATCTCTGGGGCCTTTCATGACTCACTCCAGGGGAGCTACCTGCAATGAAAGTCCCCACAGGGTCCTCAGCCACTGTCTAGTCTTGTGATATTCTGAACTCGAATACCATTTATCTGTACTTTATGATAAAAAACCAACAAACCAAAATAACACCCCTCACCCCCAAGACCCCTAACTGTCCTTGGCAAGATTCTCAGGTATGTTTTTGTGACCTGGCAGCCTTCCTGGGTCGGTGCAGATGAACTAACCCAGGGGAAGGCTACGCAAAGGTTTTACCTCTGGTTAGAACCACACACTGAATAGGGAACCACACACTTCCTAAATGTTTATTTTAGGGTGCACTCTCATCTCTGGGTTTAGGCTAACCTAGTCCCAAGGGGTATTATTAGCCATCATTTCTCTAAAGACAGGTTACGATGAACTAGCTCTGTCTCCCATGAACCTCCAAATCAGATCCAGACCAGGCTAAAGGCCCTGAACTCAAACAGCTTCCTGGGACAGGAAGAGAAGGTGGAAAGGACAGAAAGGATGGGTGGGGTTAATTCTTTCCAGCCAGCAGCTGTGTATTTCCAAAGGAAGGCAATTCCCACTCCAAGCTGAGTGGTCACATATAACTTCAGGGACACACACCGAGTGAAGAGTGCAGAGAAGTACCTGACTGTCTCTCATTCTCCACAAATCCGTAGCAAAGTCCCAGAGCCCAGTTTGCCGTCCTGTACTCATCTTCTGCTATTCTCTTTGCTACTCTTAAGCTCCAACCCAGACAGCCCTCTTCAGCCATGGATGACTCCTCTGGTACTTTCCATCTGTGCCCAGACAAGTATGGATTTTGCTGTTATTTTCTGGAAGCTTCATGTCATGCCCGAAGCTGGCTGGCTACCACTGCAGCCTCATTCCACAGAATCCTTGATTTCCCTAAGGCAGACCTTCTAGATTGTTTCTGCTTAATGGCAGGCTCCCAGAGGGTGGAAACTATTTGGTTCACCTTTGTATTGCTCGGCCATTGGCTCAGAGCCTGGAGCCTACCAGGTGTCCAAATAATCTGGTGAGTGACCATGTCCTTAGGACTGGGAAGGGGAATGCTAAATACGCTACAACTAGGACAACTGGAAAGGTACTAAACTCCACACATTGATAACAGAGCACCCCCGATGGCGTTGCTGCAATGTCACAGTCAAGGCCACATGGATGAGTATGAATGTGTGAGCAATGCTATGGCTGGACTTGGCTGTGTCTTCAGTTCCACTGTGGGCTGAGAAAGGACATGAGTCAAAACACCCACTCAGAGGCCCAGGAGAGTCAGACACCAGGCACAGATGGGCACAGGGGAGAAGACCATGCAGACACCTTGGTGCTCCCACTGGAGTTGACTCAAATCTATGCAAAAGCAGTTGTTAGGTTTTCCAGTTTAAGCATCCTTACAGTTACATGGATATTCTCCTAGACATTATCGTAGTGAAGGGTAAAAGGCAGCTTTCCTTACCTCCCCTAGCCTGTCTGTGATTAAGCATTTATGTTTTCTTTATCCATCTATGTTTGTGTATGTGTTAAAAGAACAGATCCAAATTTAACGTCCTAATAAGGCAACTGCCTGGGTCTGATCCAGGAAAACAGATAGTAATTTTTATGAATTTACATCTTTCTTTGGAAGGAAAAATATGGCTTGGAATCTCCTGCAAAACTCCCTTCACTCATTTGCCTGTTAAAGCAGAAGAGTCCCTGAAGGTCTGGACTAAAAGGCCAAGTCAGGGACTATATTAAAAACAAACAAACAAACAAACAAACAGACAGACAACCTCCTGGGTCCCAGCCAAGTGGCCCTAAGATCTAATTTTCAACCCTGGAGAACAGAAGGCAGTTCTGGCTAAGTTTCTGCTGTTCTTTTTACTTTAAATCTTACTCAGTCAAATCCAAGGGCTTGGTCTAAAAATAACCCTTGGGAAGGAAAGAAGAATGGATTCAGTGCAAAGAGACAATGTCATGCCTAGTGGGACCTTCCTGACTTAAGGAATTTCTCTGGTTTTCAAGAGCCATTCCCACACCATCTTGAAGGAATCTGGAAATTGCTAAGTTAGAAGCAACCAGGATTCTGGGGACCATTTTTTTTCCCCACAAAGAACTTGGACAGGATATTCTTTTTAAGTTTGCAAGGTGAGTAAATGAGGGTGTGGCTGTGGGTCCCCTCCAGGTAGTATCTTTACCAGTTGCGGTGGAGATGAGGCATCTCTTACCCCATGCATTTTAGAGGGCAGGGAGATGAACTCCATAGAGTTCCTAAGCTGGCCTGACCTTGGACCAGAGTGATTCTAGGTCACCACTGAGAGACATATCTAGGTGTGGTGTTTAAACTAGCCTGGAAAATATAGACTCCTAGCCCAGCAACCAAAATGAGAAATATCCAAGCATAGCCCACCAGAAAGGATTTCCAAGTAAGTCAGTGGGTGATCCAGGCATCATCTTCCTCCTTGGAACCTCTCAGATCTCTCTGCAAAAGGTGAGGCTTTTAACAGTCAAAAGACAAGTCTCTGAAGAAAACAAGACCAGGAGAACCAGGGAAGAAACCACAGACCCAAAACATGCTATAGGTGGCATCTTTTCTTAGAAGCTGGAAAGATATGTTTAAATCCCCCGAAGCCTTTCCCCTCTGAGCTCCAAAGTCCTTCTGTCTGTCACCACGGCCTCTTTGGGTTTGTGTGAAGCTTGAAGGATTAGTGAAGGCCAAGTAAGATTCTACCATGAAGAAAGCATGCTGGTAAGGAGCCAAAGACAGACTCTAGAAGATTGATGCTCTCAAAGGCTTTTTTCACAGTGTTACAAGGTGTGTAGTCATAATACACTTGAATGACGTCTTTCCTTCTTCCAACATACGCATTTTCATTGGACGGACCAACTCAATATGTAAGACACATCACTTAGAATGTAGGGGGGCACATGGACTGTTTTGAGGACTACATGAGATAGCAACAACATTGAGGGCAGCATCTGGCACAGAGTGAACATCAATAATGACTATTAGTTCCCTTTCCTCTTCCCATTCAAAATGAAATCAGATCTCAGATATGAGAGAGGATCTTCTGAAAACCATGGCACCACTATGGGTCCCAGGGTTCGTCATAAGGGACATATATTTTCCCATAGACTTGAAAAAAATTTTTTCTGGAGACATAACAATAGAAAAGGTGACTGCGGAAATCAAAGGTGTCTTCCCATTAGAAGAATGCAACTGTTTGTCTGCAAAAGTAATTCACAGACCTCATTCAAGGAATTCTAATGGTTCATCCCAGAGCAATTGCAGAGGGCTCACACAGCTTGGAAGAGACACACTGGGTCCTGCCAATCCACCCGTGAAATCCTGAAGCCCCTGCTTCCAGCCACCTTTTCATTATGCCTTTAAACATATATTCCCTACCCACCAACCATGCCTTATTTTTCTACTGAGTTTTAAGCAATTTAACAAAGAGATCAACTTCTAAAGAGGTATAAAGGAATACAGCTCAGAGATAGCTTTCTGGTGGAAAAAGCAAGGAAGGCAGGTTATATAAAATTACAGAGTACAATGTGATACTGCTCCCTTCCCTTGTTTTTGAGAGAAACTTAAGGGAGAGGATTTTGGTATCAATTGTTATGTCTTTTATAATGAAAATACCGGGATTTTAAAATCTAGATTCTTTATATTTTCCCGGATTAAGAAGGTGATATTTTCTCTTATTTCAAAACAAACATGTTTAATGAAGTTTCTTTTCTTGGGATCAGTAGAGATGGAACAACTTTTAAATTCTCACCCAGTGTCTAAACAGGACTTATCACTATGCCAAACTGCACTGTAGGTGAATGAGATAAAATTCAGAAGAGGTATAATCAATTTTCGCAGGGTTACAGGACTACTCCTGCTGGAATAGAATAATGGTGGTGATGAGTTTGGGTGGAGGACAAAGTTATAACTCAATGTTGGAGGCCGTTCCCCTGGGATCTAGGTGTGGGGCTTACCATCCCTGGGCCGTCATCTCTCTGGCATTGTCACTTCAGTACTTGGGTACACCCACGACACAAAGACACTTTATTCCTTAGAGTGGAGGAACGGACAGGCTCCAGGGGGCTGGGAACCAAGGCTATTCCTGGGACACGTAGTTCTTACTTGAGTCATCCTAGGCACAGCAGACAAGGAGAGACCTGCCACTGTGTGGCTGCTTCAGGGGCTGACCTAGTTTTTTCATCTCTGGACTTTGTACCTTCTTTGTCCCTAAATAGACCATAATGTCACTCTGTGCTCCCACTTAAGCCTGAGGCTAGGAGGCCTCATGGAGGTAAAAGCCTCTTTTGAGTTTGTCTGCCAGCAAGAAACACGTATTCAATTATGAGAGCGGTACTCTGTGACCCTGAATCTCTGCCAAGCAAAAGAAAGCTGCGCACACACTGCTGAGTCTTTACAACTCTACAACTTGGAGAACACGAGGCATGTGTAACCGAGCTGCAAATCTCACCACTCCACCCACTGGCCTTAGCCCTCAGCCATTCTAAAAGCTCTTCAAAATATCCTCTGTCCATTTTTCAACACTTTTCTTCCTGCATCTATCCACCAGGCCACTTTCTTTCCTTCTTCCCTCCTTCCAACTCCCAAGTCCTACAGACATGATAACTAGCAAGATGTGCTGGCATATATACAGGATAATTCTTTTCACTACACCTGAGACAGTCTGCTTAATGTCCTGATATGGGGGAGTGGTAGATATTTTTAATTGAGATCCTTCCAGAAGGTACAGAAAAATAAAGTACAAACACAAGTCACTTGACAAGTTTATGATTCAAACCAACAAATGGAAAACAGACAGTTTTGAGTGCTGCTAACATAGTCAAGCATTTCATGCCAACCCACTCAACCATCCCATTTCTTGGACCTATTTCTAGAGGTACCAAATGTGTCTGAAGATGAACTCACTTCTGTGTAGCGAAGAGGTATCCAGTGTGAAACACGGGAGACAGAACTGTGAAAAACCGCTGTTTCCTAAACAGCACTTAGGGTTTTATTAACACTCAAAAGTCAGGTTTCCAAGAAACATGTGTAACATCCAAAATGCTAAATGTGACTGAGGAAAAGGACAAGGGTGTTTCATCTTCGGGTAGAGGGTGGTGATTTTTCTGGTAAGACACTCTTAGACACCAAGTAGAGGAGTCAAATGGAAGACGTTAACACTCATTTCATTCTTGCTTGATATAAACATGAGATTCCGGAAAAGGCCATCCACAGAACAGTGAACAAAGTCTCCAGTGAACAAGTTGAGGTGGGGTTTAGCAGTTCATTTACAGTTGAGGAAAACTATTTTCGTCCTTTGGCCAAAAACCATACAAGGGGAGGGAACTTAAAACCCTAGACTACTCGACTCTCCCTGCATTTTTCTGCTTGATGCTGGATAAAAAAGCCTTAGCTTTTGGCTGTAACTCTATTTATGTAACAACCACAGCTGCTCCCCAAAATAGCTGCTGCTGGCTGCAAGAATTATGGGATTTTGTTGCTTACACTCGAGTCCGTTTTCTGTAGCACTCGACTGCATTTTCTTTCCTTCCCTTTTGTTGCCTTGGGTCTGGCAGGAGATGAAGAATCTTGCCATTTTGCGGAAAGATTTGAAAGTCAAGGCTCATTTTGGCAAGAACCAATTTAGCTTCCTATTTTATTCTGTGACAATCCTTTGACAACTGGGAACATCTTAACCATCCCTCTTGTAACTTATTCCACCTTCCAAAGGTGGCAGTGTGGCTGATAGTGAGGTCCCTGAAACTCACAACCCTCCAAGAGAAAAACACAGCATTCCTCTGTCTGTGTGTGTGTGTGTGTGTGTGTGTGTGTGTGTGTGTGTGTGTGTAGGACAAACCCAACCCTGGACTGCTGGCATGGCATTTAATAGGGTGCCCTCCCCTGAAAGTAACAAAGAGAACCCTCGTCAAAGCTATCAAACATGATAAAAAAATACAAAAGTTATTTTCTCCTTTTGATTGCTATTTACTTGTGACAATATTTGTTAAAAATATTACTTCTGTCTTTGAGAAGAGATCATCCTCTTCATATAGCATGGAAAAATAAACTCTACTGGACACACAGTCAACACTCCCCACATCTCCAACATCACTTGTGTCAATGTCCTGTTTCCCTTTAGGCAGACACCTTTTACCCACACTACCGGTGCTGGAAACACAATGGAAGGAGGTGGAAAGACTCCTGTAGCATTCCGAAGGGGGCGAATTGGAAAACAACGTGCTTTAATACCCAAGAAAGCCAAAGGTCACGGGGGTTTCCAGCCCTCCTAAGAAGTCATGGGGTTGTCCCCTCATCTCTTCTAACCACTCACAGCCCTTCCAAACCAAGGTAGCCATCAACAGACGGGTGGGGAGCCATTTAGGCCAATCATCTGGGTAGAAGCTATGAAGGAACACTTGGCTTCCACACCTAAGATCATCTGAAAATGCTGAACTGGATGAATGGGAGAAGACAAGGATACATAAAAACAGTAAAATGTTTATTTCTTAGAAAAAAAAAAAGTGAGGAGGAGGGATTCAAGATGACTGTGGTCACACTTCCATTTGCATCTGAGCAAAGCCAATGCTACAAACTTAATCCTGCACTAAGCGTCCTAGTAAGTGGAACAACCTGTGGCTCACTCCTATGTCACTTCCAGGAGCCAGGTCACAGCATTCTTTTAATCAATTGTGGCTCTTCTACTTTTGAGCAGAGAAACGAGGCTCACCATAGCCACCATCCCATCTCCAAAGACCCACATTACCAGTGAGAAGCAAGGCTCAGGCCATCTCTGGACCACGTAGAAGAGATGGACAAGGAGGAAAGGAGGGGAGGAGAAGCTTGACTTCAAAGCAGAACCAGGCTAGAACTGAAGTCTGTAACAGAGTTCATCACTATCTCGTCTTATAGAAAACAGGCTGGAGAGTATCGGATAACCAATAGTATCTTTAAGGTGAAGTGCAGAACTTTGCTGCATAATTGGACACGAGAGAAGTGAAAAGTTGCAACAAGTTTTAACTAGCAGCAACAAAGAAAGTTCCAGAACAGTTTTGTTTTTTTTGTGTGTGGATGTGTGGATGTGTGTGTGTGTGTGTGTGTTTGTGTTTAGCAATATTCCTTTGCAGGTTCATTAAGAAACACTGTGATTTAAGGGGGCATACGATATGGAACGGTCTTCTTTTGCTATAGTGCTGTTCGGTGAAGAGAACCGACCTTTGCAAAGGTTTCAACTGGGGTGTAACCTATTTACACAGTAGTAGCTCCTGGTCTGAGTGGGAGAACCGATGCTATGTGATATCCTCTTCTTCAGAACAGTAATCCCGGCCCTGGGAATAAAAAAGAAGGACACATGAATAAAAAAACCAACCAGGGCCCAAAACAGTTACTGGTGGTCCACTTTCTTCCAGCTTAAGTCTGCTTTGTCATGGAATCCAGTCTTCATTGGTGGCTGCTGGGTGCAGATCGATGTATCCCAAACATGTGCTGGCTGATTTTTAAGCTCCATTTATCTCAAGCCAGGATATACCATACCCATAGAAAACTCTGTTAAACGCTGGCAAGAATTATGTCAACTTATATTACAGGTGCATATGAGATGCCGCTCACACGAAGAAGTTAAAGAGACGAAGCAGCTAGGAGCCTTATCTCTCACCATGGAGACTCAACAGTCACTTTCTGCTGCTCATATTCTATAGTTCCAACCCCACGCTTGCCACGTAAAATGTCAAAGGAGGAGGAAGTGTAATCAAGGGATGCCCGAGTTTTAACTCATTCTAAAATGGTTTAAAGGAACAGCAAACAAGGATGCCATGAACATGGGTGACAGATCTGGGGCTGGGCCTGGTCCTCATGAATGACTTCAAGGACAAGAGTCTTTGATGTGCTTGACAGCAAGCAGGTTCTTGGCAGGCTTAAGGGCAGCAGGGAATGGCCACTTTTAAGCATCTTTTATCCCCTTGCCACTATGAAGACAGAGCTGGGACCAGGATTGAGACTTGGTATTTGACCTGACTGAGTTGTCTTGATCAACATATGTAGCCTTCTGAGGACAAGTCTCCACAGAGAGCACAAGGCAAAAGTACCTTCCTGTTTCATCACCTATGTCACAGGCCAGGCTTTTGTGAAAGGTCAAGTGTTAGGGTCCATTTGTTATTCACTCTGTTTCATCTTGACTTAAGGTCAGAGAGTTCAAATCTATTCTTGTTCCTCAAGGTTAAACAACAGGATGTTTGGCCAAAGGTGTGGCTACCTGATGTCTTTCCCCTGGAGACCAAATAATAGGATGCTTGACTTAGGGCGTGGTCACTAGATGTACTGAGTATTAAGGAGGTAATTACCTTTGTTCCTCGTATCATAGTAAGAAAGTCTTTTGCCCTCACCTTTTGATTGGGGTATATAAAAACCATGAGTAATAAACTTCAGGCATCTACAGTATTCACTGAGCACCCTCCTGACTCTATCGTCTGTCTTTTGTCTCTTGTCTTTCTCAATCCTCACTCCCTTTTTCAGGCACATTTGAACAGGTTGGCTGGTCCCAACAGTCAAGTTGGATTATTTTGTTTGTACTCTTCACTGATTTTTCTTTTCAAATACAAACTAGATGCTCTATATTTGTGGACAAATGCTCCTTTAAATGCAGAAATTTTGGCTGTATAACATATAAAAATAAGAACCTCAAACAATGTTGAAGGGACCAGCTCCCCATTTCGGCAGCCATAACAGCCAAACATGTATTTGTCTGACCTTGTCTTAGTCACTAAGGTCAGATGCCTGCCCCTTTCGGCAGCCATGACAGTAACACGTGCTTTTCTGACCTTGCCTTGGTCACTAGAGGTTAGGTGTCTGCCTCGTGGCAGGGAACCAATCAGAAGTTAGCTGGTGGCGCTATGCTTTACGGCTCTGGGTGTGCTTTACGGACAAGTGCACAGCAATGACGTGCAGAGCATAGCAACCACCCTGGGAGGGCCTATGGGCCATAACAACCAGTTGGCCAATCAACACAGGGCAAGCCCTCCAAGCCTGGAGGCACACCAATCCTGAGCCTGTGCGTACTTGTAGACACTCCCCTTACGCTGCCCTACAAGATCTCTATGCAGCCCCTTTGAGCTGTCTTTGCTAGCCATCCACCACGGCGGGTGGGTTAAAGACCTGAGCTAACATGGGGTTAGCTCGTTAAACAATAAAGCCTCATGCTGTTTGCATCAAGCTTTCGAATCTGCCTGGTGATTGGGGTGACCGTGGTCCTGGGCTGAGACCCCGGAGGCCTGAGTTTTCCGGGGGTCTAACAATGTAACTAAAGTTGTATATGACAATGGATGCTCCCATAGTTTATCTTATTTGATAAGCAAGTTATTTATCCCACACACTTTTCTTGTTAACTATTTTATAGTACATTTATTTCAGGCAAGTTCAACTCATACTTTGTTGCTTCTTTTGTTTTTGTTTATTCTATCTCATCTTTGCAGTTGACATGCATGAAGTATTGGCAACAAACAATTTTCTTGTTTACTGTGCGCATATTCTTGATTTCAGGCTAACTTTTTAATATTGTAAGTCTTATTTTAGTATATTAAAAAGTAGAATTCTTGGCTATTGAAGGTACTTTTCTAACCCCTCAGCCCACTGCTACTTCCAGCATATTCAGTACACTTGCTTTCTTTCAAACAAACAAACCCCAAACTTTCTAATTGGAATGCATTCTTAAAAGCATCAGTGCTTACATTTTTAATGTAACTATTCCTCAAATATATAACATGCTTATATATTTCTTTGTTATGTATCTGTACATTGGAAATATTTCACATTTCCCTAATGCTGAAGTGTCACTATTATAGATTATTAAGCACATGTCTAGATGCTAATTACAGCTGTATTTCTTACTAATTTTGGTACCTTGTTCAAGTTATCTCTTTAAGGCTCAGTTTTCTTATTGATGGATTAAAAATAATGACAGTTATATGGCATGGCTGTTCAAAGTTAGTATTAATAGTGTCTATTAATACTGTGACTGGTAAATTAATTTGTTCATGATGTGTACATACATGTATACAAGTGTGTTTCACATACAAAAAACAAAACAAACAAACAAGCAAACAAAAAAACACACACTACCATACAACAAAGCTGCAGAAGCAGGAATGGTCATCCATTCTTTGTCAAACAGCCCAGACTGCTTATTCTGTCAGAACGAGTCGCTATATAGCCTGTTTTAGTTTCTTGCACCAAGAGAGTGCAGTCCCATGTGCTTTGCAGAATGGAAGTCCAGTGTCCACTGTGGTTTGACTCACTGGCAGCGTAATACCTCCAGGGGACAGAAAATGGGTAACCAATGCTCCTAAGAAGAGGATGCAGCCTTCCCATAGTTCATGATGACCACCATCCTGAGTTTTGTTCCAGACCAGGCAGGAACCACTCTCTCAGTCATCAACTGGAGAGTTGTAAAGGAGACCCCCCAAGGTTCCTGACCCCTGGGAGTTCATTCTCCAGCATGGGAAACTGGACACACACAAATCTAGCAGCACGAGATCACAAGCATCAAGCAATGGTCTCCGTGTGGCTATAACTAAGGAGCTTCAGACTAGACTTGGAGATGGATGCTGGGTAAACAGCTGGGCAGGAGGTCAGAGTTTTCATGGTGATCTAACTAGCATATAAAAGTGGACCTGGGTAAAATGACAGGCTTTGGTTTCTTGGACACAGTCCCTTTCTCTATCCCATAGGACTATGATCAGAGTTACGTGTGGAAAAATACCTCATTCTGTCAGATAGTCAATAAATGTTAGCTGTTGTCACTGTTATTGTATTAGGCTCCTGGTAGGGGTGAAAAGCCTCATTTGTGAGTGAGGGCTGTGGTCTTAAGGTGAGATCTGACAGGCAACAGAGAACTCCCCCCCTCCTCAGCAGTATGTCCCAGGCAGATCTGAATCCCAATCCCTGTATACGAAGACAAGTTCTGTAGCAAAAACTAAAGTCCCTTCTCATCTTATGTCAAAGTAGGGCCTCACATAGAAGCAAAGGTTCAGGTAGTTCACGTGAGGTTGAGTGGGCCCCTCCACTATGAGGAAGCAAACACACACACACACACACACACACACACACACACACAAAAAAAAAAATCTCTTTGGTATTTATTAACACAGTGCTTCGAAACATGCGAAAGAGCTATAAGATGATAAAACTAAAGGACCCGGGGCTAGAGAGGTGGCTCAGCAGTGAAGAGCACTTGCTGATCTTGCAGAGGACCTGGATTCAGTTTCTAGCATTCACATGGCAGATCACAACTACCCATAACTTCGGCTCTAGGGGATCTGACATCCTTCTGGCCTCCTAAAACACTGTAGGCACATGCTTGTACACACACACACACACACACACACACACACACACACACACACACACACACAAATGCGAGCGTGTGCACATTCTCGACATACATTAAAAACAAAACAAAAAACCTAAGGGACCATTTTAGATACTCCAGGTTTATTGCCAGCACACAAAGGCCCTCTATCACACCCCTTGAGGAACAAAGCTGAATAAACGCTCTGTCTCAGCCAGACCCTGAGACTTGCATTTCCTGAGAATTTGTTCCTCTAAATTTTTCTAATTATTACAAGCAGGAGGAAAAAACCCACATGAGTTGCTTTGCAGACATCATTTCATTTATTATTCATATCAACTTTGCAGGGTAGGAGTGGAGTCTCGTGGCAGTGAGCAAATCTCAGAGAAGCCCAAGATCCCCGAGCTAATCTCTACCTTTCCTGGGAGGTTGTAGTGACTTGATAAGAAAATTCAAATTCCAGTTGGTTTCATTTTTCTTATCTCCTGGTGGCAGCTCAGAGGATGGAATACTTTGGGAACAAAGACTTCGGAGAGCAGAACACATAGCAGCTAAGAGATGCCACAAGGCACGCAGGCCTAAGTGACCCAGAGATCTGCTGGGAGGGCTCCAATCCCCATATCCCACGAGCACCCCCATTTGCACACTGGTCCTACTGGGCAGACCAGGGAACAAGCTTCTGCTGATAGGACTTCATGTCTCATTTAAATTGTTAAAGAACTTCTAAAACCAGAATTGTCAAACTTTCAGCCATCAGGGAGGCAGGAAGTAGGATTGAGCAGGCTGGAGACACAGTAAGTTTCTTAGCTGAAGAAGGCCCTTCTACCCCCATTCGGGGACCCAAAATGGAAGGAAGAATTTGTAAAGCCCTCTATGCAATTGTATGCTAGTCACAATTCCAGCCTTATGTCAAGGACCCACCAAGAGTTTTCAGGGAGACCCCACCCAGCACATTACAAGAATGGAAACTCCAAATGACGCTGACAG